TCTGGTGGGCCGCCATCATCTGGCCAGGCATCGAGGCCTGGGACTGCGAAGGGCTCCCTCCTACTGCTGAACAGCGCCAGGGGCGCTTCGCCGCCGCCGAGGTGTCCCAGGCAGCGGAGGATGCCACGGGCGGTGGGCCGATGGCCAAGCAGCCACGCCTGGAGAACGCCCGCTCGACAGGCAGCAGCTCGGCAGACCTCTCGGCCAGTGCAGTAGCCTTCAGCATCCTGGGGCATGCCCTGTCCTATGCCTGCACTGGAGAAGGCGAGGGCACCCAAGAGCTCGTGGCATGCTCCAAGCGCGGCGCCTACATGACGCTGGGCGGCCGCTCAGGGGTTAGGCCTCGCCTCAAGGAGCGGTGCCCAGGCGACGAGACCGACGAGAGCGGCAGGAACCAGCGCAGCCTGTGGCTTCGAGGACTCCATCCAGGAGGCAGGAGGCAGGAGGGGTCACGAGCTGCCAGGCACAGAGTGAAAAGAGAGGGCACCCCTGCGCTGCGCTCGCAGGGTCCAGTGCCTGAGCACGCGCAGGAGCGGTATCTGGAGTGGCTTGGCACTGCAGCGGAGCCAGCTGTAGACTCCTCGGCCGCTGCGAGCAGGCAGCGCCCCAGCGGCAGCTGCGGAGCCGCAGGTCGCAGCGGGCCCAGGACAGGCCCCAGCGGATGCGGCCGACGCTGCGGCCGCTGCCAGCCTGCCTCTGCGGCGCCCAGCCGCAGCGAGGACTGGGCTCCTCGGAGCCTTCGGGGTCACCGAGGAGGAGCTCGCCGCTGCGGCCGGCGCTGCAGTCGAGGCCCTGGAGGACCGCAGGGTGCGCCGCCGCATGGCGCGCCGTGGCGGCCCGACCGTGAGTGAGTGAGATTTGCATCGCTGTGGCTTGCACCAGCTGCTCCCCTCGGTGAGCAGGCTTCCGCCGCCCTCGGTACGCGCGTGGGACTCGGCGTCTCTCGGGAACGCGGGCCCCATCTGGCCCTGTCCGTATTTTGTCACCCTTTGCCTTGAAGGCCCCGTCTTTAACTTTAACTTTAACCGCGCAGGAGCATGGCAAAACACACAGGAGCACGGCCGAACGCACAAAACACATAGGAGCACGGCAGAACAAGCAGGCGCGCGGCAGAACACACAGGAGCATGGCAGTACACACAGGAGAACGGCAGAACACATAGGTGGACGGCCGAATCGACGACAGAACACGCCGGAGCAGGGCAGTACACACAGGATCACGGGGAGCACGGCAGAACACACAGAGTACATAGGAGCACGGCAGAACACACAGTAGCACGGCAGATCACATAGGAGCACGGCAGATCACACATAACTCACAGGAACATGGCAGAACAAGCAGCAGCACGGCAGAACACACAGGAGCACCGCAGAACACATAGGAGCATGGCAGAGCAGGACGATGGCATAATATACAGGAGCACGGCAGAACACACAGGAGCCCGGCAGAACACGCAGGAGCACGTGGGGTGCCACGCGCGGGCCCTCCCGCGACCTGGCGCTCCGCGGGCCGCCTGGAGGAGGGCGCATCGCGGGCCGCGCCTCCCGTGCCAGAGGTCGGCCGTAGCGGCGAGCTCAGCGGAGGTGGAGCCGCGGGCTGCGGGCGCAGATGCCATTCACGTCGCTGTTCTTGAAGCGGAGCTCCTGGCGGAGGCTGACGCCCAGGCGAGCGGCGGTGCGTTCCCTCCCCCGCCAGGCGTTTGGCTGGTCGCTGACCCACTGGCAGGGGCGAGGGCCTTCCGGGAGGGCTTCGACGCGGGCTGGCGCCTTGCTGGGACGGCCAACAAACGATTCAGGACGACGAACCGGTTCTGGGGAATGGGTCGAGACTTCCCGGGGCCCGTCTTGAAGCAATCACGGCATCGGCTCTCTTGGTGCCTCTCCGCCGGTTCTGGCCCACCCCGCTTCGGGGCGGCGCGCTGTCGGCTTCCGAGCTCCCGAGCCCCAAATCATCAGGGGCAACTCGGGTCAAGTCTAACTCGGGTTCGTTCCTCGGGAATCCGAACCCGAGTTACCCCGGGCCCGAGTTGCCCCGGATAACTCGGGCGTCCAGAGCCCCAAATCATCAGGATAATTCGGGTCAGGGCTAACTCGGGTTCGTTTCTCGGGAATCCGAACCCGAGTTGCCCCGGGCCCGAGTTACCCCGGATTACTCGGGCGTCCAGAGCCCCAAATCATCAGGGATAATTCGGGTCAGGGCTAATTTGGGTTCGTTTCTCGGGAATCCGAACCCGAGTTACCCCGGGCCCGAGTTACCCCGGATAACTCGGGCGTCCAGAGCCCCAAATCATCAGGGGTAATTCGTGTCAGGGCTAACTCGGGTTCGTTTCTCGGGAATCCAAGCCCGAGTTACCCCGGGCCCGAGTTACCCCGGATAACTCGGGCGCCCAAGAGTTCCCAGGCGTCAACGCCCAGAGCCCTCCGAGTTTCCCGCCCCGCGGAGTGGACCGAGGCGCTGTCCGCTCGCACGGCGCAGCGTGTCGGCGGGGCTGCCGGGGCGACGCGCTACGCCACGTACACAGCATAACTTGCACCACGCAGGTTCTACCTTACAGCTTACACATCCACAGTGCAACAACTTGCTGTGTGGGGTCCACGCCGGCTAGCGTGTAGTTGTTCAGCATTTGGTTTAAGGAGGTATGTTAATATTGGTGACTTGGGTCAAAGAGGTGACTGCTCTCCCCCGACGCCAAAGCCACCAAACTCATCGCCGACATGTTTGTCAGCCTGCGAGGAGCCCTCGCCTATGCCCTTCTTACTCAAGTCTGGCCCATGGTGCATGTGGTCTCTCTTGAGAAAATCCAAGAGCCCACCAACCTACAAGTCAGACCACTGAATGCTGTGACGCGAAAGCTGATCAGCAGCCCGAAACGCATCACCTTCCCTCGGATGAAACCGACGAGCGAAGTTGTCATACACAGTGATTCGGGGTATCGGAAGGGCTACGGCATACGCGGGGCCAACGTACTACGGCGAGGAAACTCGCCTCTAGGCAAACCCGTCGTTCACCTTTGTGACGGACTATGTAAATCACATCGACTGCAGGTGAGGTCCAGCAATGCCGCTGAGGCACTTGCAGCTGCACACAATCTTGATGAGTGCTACCCTACGCTCGTCACTCTCCACGAGCTCAAGGCAGGGGCTCTGACTCCACGACAACTACGAGATATGCGTGAAGTTGGAGGTCTAGCTATTAAAGTATCCCTTACCATAGACGCTGAGTCGGTATACAAATCGTTATCCAGCAAAGATCTTAAGATACGGAACGGACTTTGCTGGGACATATCAGTTGGGTACGTGAGCTCATGGACATAGGTATAGCGCATAATGTGCAGTGGTGTCATACCAGAGATATGACCGCATATGGGCATACAAAGGGGGGTATCGATCGGGAGCTGCTTTTGGAAGTGATGTCAGGCAATCAGTCATTTAAGTATGACGTGAAGCAGTTTGATCCCTTTCGGGGCCCCGAGGAGAGAAACAAGCCTAAGTCTAATCAATTTTAGTATGTCCTTGTTGCCCCCGCGGTCCAGTTTGCCAGCATGGGCGCCTAATACAGAGGCGCCCTCCTAGGTGCTCGGAAACGAGCCTACCATTTCACGCTTGGCAACGAGCCTGTTCGGTTTGGTTCAGGCTCTTTGCCGTAATATCCGTTTGCTCGGAGAGGTATAGCCCGTTTGGCTTACCTCTAGCGGGGCCGATAGCCCTTTGACGTCCAAGGGGCTATCTCGTATTTGCGTGAAATGCTTTGCGAGGAAACTCGCCTTACAGTCTGGTGTCAGGCCAGACTGTGCGCACTGTTTTTCTTGCAAAACAGTCGTGCGCGCGGCCTTTGTAGAGCCTAACGGCTGCGCGGCTATACTCTCCGTCTCCTCCCCTCCCGACTTTAAGGGTAGCTCTTTGGGAGATGTTATATAGAATCGGGAGTATAGCTCGCGCGCCGTTGCCTTTGGCTCAAGGCACGCGCGCCCTATTTGCCCGGACACTGCTTGTGTTCGCTATGTGCTGGAAAGGTCATTACATCGATCTTATCCTATCCTATCCGTCCATTCTTCTCACTGAACAACCTCAGTTCGATACCGGACGCTATTTGCCATCCGCTTCCCATGGAATCGGATGCTATTTGACTTACCATAGTCACTTCAGACTCCATGCGCGAGCGATTGCGTACCAAGTTCGCCGGCACCTCGGTCACAGCTTGCTTGCATCTATAGAAGTTGATGGTAATCGCGCGCCGCGAGAAGCGGCCCTGAATCCTGTCAGACACCAAATTCGGATGAGCCTGTGCGGGGTATAGGTTCCCAGGTCAGGTGTCGCACTTGTGGAGGCAGTTCGCCATGGAGAATGGCGCCCAGGTTTTTCAGATACCCCTTGCCACCAGGGCCTTTTTAGGGGAATGATCATGGTGCCCACGAAGAGCACAGCCAACGGCATAGATTTGCATAGCCCCCATACCTTGGCGTATCACAAGGAGTTCGGGAGCACTGTCTGTCTTGCCTGTGGTTGTGTAGCCACCCAAGCGGTCAGGAAGTTGAGTGAGCAATGCTCAGTGCTTTTGAATAAATATGGCAAGCAGCAGTTGAGGAGAGTGCAGCAAGGCCTGCCACCAGGAACCTCAAAGCTTGCCAAGCGCCAAGTGGCCCAGAAGAAGATCCTGCGATAAACCTGTTCAACTCTGCCTGAGGCTGGAAGGAACAAAAAGGTTCATTTCCCCCAAAACCGTTTGAATACCCTGAAGCATGCCAGAACATTCTTCTGGGGACTCTAACGCCACGGATCAGCCTGACTGTTGCGTCTTGACGATCCGGAGTCGTGCCAAAACGCTATCCTTGGGACTTCAATACAGCGAAGTATCGTAACTGCTACGCCGTCATAATCATGTGCTTTTCCAAGACACAGTTGTTGGTACGTTGGCCATGGGAAACCGTGCAGCTCTTGCAATGTTTAAAAAGGAATGTGCGCGGCACTAATGAGAGAATCATTTATTGAAAAGGAGCAGCCCTCAATTCGTGAAGCTCTTGCAATCCGTATCCATTTTGGCTCAAGGCAGTACTCGCAGTAAGTTTGTTGGCGCCACCGGCAGCGCGATCCTTCCAGGTCTTATTGCGCAACCTAATTCTCATCGCGTGTCGCTGACGAGCCATGGGAAGTGTCCTCGGCAAGTGTTGCAAGTTCCTTGGGTCGGCCACGGAGTCGACGCAGCAGGGGCCCACGGCAGACCCAACCGGTCCCGCAGCAGACGCTGCTGCAATTGTGGCTGATCACGCAGGGATTTCCGACCCGTCCGAGATCACATGGGAGGTGGCCACGAAGATGAAGGAGTGCCTGGAGGATTACCCCAACATCATCCAGTTTGACAGCTCCACGCTGCAAGCGTCTGTCAATGTGGTTGCAGATGTTCTCCAGGGAGCTAACCTACGCATCAGCCTCGCGGCCCCGATCGAGCTGGTCTGCCGGGCCGTGGCGAATACCGCCATCAAGGTGACTGACGGCACGGACGTCGGAGAGGTTCTGAGCAAAGTTATGGAGAGCAACCAGAACATTATCCAGAGAGACGTCGAGGCCTTGCGCGAGATGCATCTGAAGAATGCCATGGACGAGATCGAGGTGCTGGCCGCAATGAGCAAGACGTTGATGGAGCTCAAGGCGGAAGGGTCCTCAAACTTTGAGAATGAGCTCACGTTCTACGTTCAGAGAGCGCTCTCGGCAGAAGGGCACGCGAGGGACGCGTTCAACGTTGCCAAGGGTAAGCTGGACGAGAAGGTCCGCGCAACGACGCTGATGGCGTCGGCGATGATGGCTCAGACCTTGGACCCGAAGCGGGAGAGTCGAGTCATCGCCGACCGGCTGACCCATGCCCTGAAGAAGCTCTTCAACGACGAGGACATGCAGGTGCTGATCGGCCAGGAGTGCGGGTCATGGGACAAGGTGCTGTGCTTCAGGGAGAGGCGGCAGCGTCGCCTCCGGGAAGCTTTCCAATGCCTGGTCCACGTCGAGGGATGGATCGCGCAGCGCGCTCGGGGGCGGCAAACCGTCCTCAGCAGCTTGGACAAGCCCTTTGACATGAATCGCATCATCCAGCAAGGCATCCTCGACCCGAAGGGCAGCACAGTGGGCGCGCTCGCTCGCCTGGCCGGCGGGGAGGAGTACAGCGACATGGAGTTCGGCATATTGCAGAGCTACTGCGGGCAAAGGCCGAAGATGCAGGCGGCGACAGCTCTCTCGGGCTCCAGAGACAAGACCCTGAAGCTGTGGGAGCTCTCCACGGGCAGGTGCCTCCGGACCCTCACGGGCCACACGGTTTGGGCGTTGCGTAATGGAGGGGTCATAAATGGGGGGGTGGCGAGCGCGGTCCGAAAAGGTACCCAAACGGTACCTAAACGAGCCCCCTGGGGCTCTGGAGGGGCCCGAAAGGGGCACGAAAGGGGACCTTTTCTGACCCCCCCATTTGTGACCCCCCCGTTAAGCCACGCCCAAGGACCTGGTGAGGTGCGTCGTCGCGCTGGGCGAGGACGGGGCCCTCTCGGGCTCCGACGACCAGACCCTGAAGCTGTGGGAGCTCTCCGCGGGTAGGTGCCTCCGGACCCTCGAGGGCCACACGGGCCAGGTGATGTGCGTCACCGCGCTGGGCCGGGCCCTGGCACGCGACGCGTAGGGACGGATCCTTGATCCGCCGCCGCTTTTTCGTGAGCTCCGCCGTCGCGCCCTGGCGGTGCTCGGGCGAGCCCGCGGCGCAACGATCTCAAGCCTCATATAAGTCTTCATTGAAATCTTCATTTCCCCTCCCCCTCCTCCTCCTCCTCCCCCTCCTCCCCCGCCAGATGAGGCTGCCATAGTAGATCGAGAATTTAGTAACAGTTCCGTGCAATCCCTCCATCCGCCCCCGCCCCTGCCTCTCGGGGCCTTCCTCATAGGGCAGGGGGGCGTCGGCCGAAAACGGCTCCGGGTGATGAAATGTTGCGTTCCTCCCCCCCTGACCACCTCGGCCAGGGTGCTTCTGGCTGTAACCCTCTAGCCGGACTCCCACGTCGAGGACTCTTGGGAGGGAACATTTCGAGTGAATTGATTTATTGCATTGTTGCTGCGTTGCCGTGACGTCGGCAATTTCATTTTGGGCAGTACGTAATGTTGCACGGTGCGTGAGGCATAGTGTAGCGCGGTATTGCGCATACAGGAAAAAAAACATCGTGAAACTCTTGCAAATGTTTGGAACGAGTGTGCGCGGCGCTAAGGCGAGAGCCACATATTGAAAAGGAATTGCCTTCAGTGTGTGACACTCTTGCAAGTGTTAAAACGAGCGTGCGCGGCGCTCAGGCGATAGCCACATTTTGAAATCGACCCTCCCTCAATCGGTGAACATGTCGCCATTTTTCAAGCGTCAGGGTCATACATGGTAAGGAAGTCTCAGGGGAATCGCTCGGCCCACCCTTTCGACCAGCCTCGGGGTGGGACAGGGGGACATTTTTTATGGGGAAAAGGCTTGGAGGAAAAGGAGGAGGAGGAGGTGAGGAGGAGGAGGAGGAGGAGGAGGAGGAGGAGGAGGAGGAGGAGGGCGAGGCACCGATACCGCCGTCCTTCCGTTTTCCTTTCTTCGGGGGGCCTCCTGGGAGGCCTTCGGCAGAGGCTTCTCAGAGGAGAAGAAGGCACTTTTACCGCTACCCTTTCCTTGTTTCCTTTTTTTGAGGGACTCTCCTCCGGGATCCTCGGCCGACGCGTCTCAGAGGAGGAGGAGGAGGAGGAGGAGGAGGAGGAGGAGGAGGAGGAGGAGGAGGAGGAGGACGAGGAGGAGGAGGAGGAGGAGGTGAGGAGGTGAGGAGGAGGATGAGGAGGAGGAGAAGGAGGAGGAGGAGGAGGAGGAGGAGGTGGAGGAGGAGGAAGAGGAGAAAGAGGAGGAGGAGGAGGAGGAGGAGGAGGAGGAGGGAGGAGGAGGAGGAGGAGGAGGAGGAGGAGGAGAGGAGGAGGAGGAGGAGGAGGGAGGAGGAGGAGGAGGAGGAGGAGGAGGAGGAGGAGGAGGAGGAGGAGAGGAGGAGGAGGAGGAGGAGGAGGAGGAGGAGGAGGAGGAGGAGGAGGAGGAGGGGAGGAGGAGGAGGAGGAGGAGGAGGAGGAGGAGGAGGAGGAGGAGAGGAGGAGGAGGAAGGAGGAAGGAGGAGGAGGAGGAGGAGGAGGAGGAGGAGGAGGAGGAGGAGGAGGAGGAGGAGGAGGAGGAGGAGGAGGAGGAGGAGGAGGAGGAGGGGGAGGCACCGATACCGCCATCCTTCCCTGGTTTTTCTTTTTTGGGGGCCTCCTGGGAGGCCTTCGGCAGAGGCTTCTCAGAGGAGGAGAAGGCACCGATACCGCTACTCTTTCTTTATTTCCTTTTGTTCGGTACTCTCCTCAGGGACCCTCGGCCGAGGCGTCTCAGAGGAGGAGGAGGAGGAAGAGGAGGAGGAGGAGGAGGAGGAGGAGGAGGAGGCACCGATTCGGCTGCCCTTCCTTCGTTCTCCCCTTCTTGGGGCCTCCTGGGGGGGGGGCGCCACGGCAGGATTCGCCTCGAGATCCTGGTCGCAGCGCACCCTGGAAGAGGTCCGGAGGAGTAGCGGTAGCGGTGCCTTTGGTTTTGCCCAGGTTCGCCACGTGGCCGCCTCGTGGCCGCCTCGGTGCCGCAGGCCCACGCGAGGAGTCTGCTGGCTTGGCGGTCACCGCGCTTGGGGGGCAGCTTGCACCACAGAGGTACCAGTCGGGAACTTTTGGATAGCGTGCCCACAGATCCAACGTACTGAAAAAATCAAAACGGAGGTTTTTCGCTAGTTTCGGCGGCGCTCCGCGGGGCGGCGACGGCGTGGTGCTGCAGGAGCAGTGCGTGCCCTCCTCGTCCTTCCGTGGCGTGCGACGGTGAGTGCGGCGGCGGGCAGCCTGCCCCGGCCGCCAGGGCAGAGCCTGGCCCTCCCCGTGAAGGGGTTTGGGAGGCAGGCGCGGCGATGGAGGAGGACGGCAGGGCCGCCCTCCAGGCGCCGTGTCGTGCGTTCGATGGTGCGCAGGGCGGCGCTGCAGGCGAGAGCGCGCCGCGGCCGCCGCTGCTTCTGGAGAGCCTGGCGGGCCCAGGCAGCGACGACGGCTTCGATGGCGGCTTTGTGGACGGCCCTGTCGACGGCGACGCGGACGGGGGCGCGGCCTGCCCAGGGCCCCCCGCCCGTTCGGAACCCGACAGCCACGTCCTGGAGTCGGAGTGCGGGTTCGTTTCTTTTCTGGGCGACTTCTCGGTGGCGGCGGTGGCGTGTGCGGCCCAGGGGCCGAAGTCGGGAGTTGAGTCACTCCTGGACTGGGCCGAGGCCCGCGCCCTCTGCTTCCGCCTCGACAGTGCAGGTTGTCCAGGTGCCGAGGAGCGCGCGCGGCTCCTCGATGGTCTTTTGGCCCGTGCGCGTTGCACGACGCGGCCCGAGAGTAGTGCGTTAGGCGGGCAGTTGCATTCTGCATGTAGATTTGTTCTCGCCTTGTGGTGCGGCCGCGGTGACGGCCCGGCGCGGCCCCCGCGGGGAGAGGCGGCCCTAGGCGGCCCCTCTCGGGAGGGCGTGTCCTTTTTCTCCTCTTCCTGCCTTTGAGGTCCAACCAACCAACACGCAGGGGCACGGCAGAACACATAGATGATCTATTCGCACAGCCGCACCCACAGGCACACGCACATAGGCACGCATGCGCGCTGGCACACGCACGCGCACACACAGACATAGACACACACACGCATTCACACGCACACACAGAAAGGCAACATACGTTCACGCAGACCGCAGGAGCACGGCAGAGCAGCACGGCATAACACAGCAAGGCCGAAAACCACCACGGACGGACACACTTGCACATATTCCACGCACGCACGCGCACGCGCAAACGCACGCACGTCGCGACATATCTGCGCGGCAAACCAACAAAAGCATTGTAGGGGGATCCCCGAGAGCGGCCGGGTTCGTCCGCCATCTTGCTCATCGCATCTTCGCGGCCCTAGACTGAACAGCATAAGATTGACATGCGGAGCGGCGGCTGCGCGTGTCAATCTTATGTTGTTCCCCCCAGGGCCGCGAGGACGGGGGGAGGGGAAGGGGGGGCGAACGCGGCCGCCCCGGGGGTGGGTCGAGGCCGACCGAGGAGGCCGAGGAGGAAGAGGACGAGCACGACGACGAAGAGGGGGAAGCGACACGTGCGGCCAGCCACAAAAAAAAAACCCAGAGGGAACAACATAAGATTGACATGCGCAGCCGCCGCTGCGCATGTCAATCTTATGTTGTTCCCTCTTGTGCATTTTGTTTTGGGTGGCTGGGTTTGGGTCCCCCCGTGGCCGTCGTCGCCGTCGCCGTGGTCGTCGTCTTCGTCGTCGTCGTGGTCGTCGTCTGCGTCCTCGTCCTCGTCCTCGTCCTCGTCCTCGTAATTCGTCGGTTCTCGTCCTCGTCGTCCTCCGATTCGGTCGTCCGTCCCCCACCCCCGAGAGCGGCCGGGTTCGTCCGCCATTTTGCTCATCGCATCTTCCCGGCCCCAGACTGAACAGCAAAAGATTGACATGTGGGACGGCGGCTGCGCGTGTCAATCTTATGTTGTTCCCTCCAGGGCCGCGAGGACGAGAGGAGGGGAAGGGCGGGCGAATGCGGCCGCCCCGGGGGTGGGCCGAGGCCGACCGAGGAGGCCGAGGAGGAAGAGGACGAGCACGACGACGAAGAGGGGGAAGCGACGCGTGCGGCCAGCCACAAAAAAAAAACCCAGAGGGAACAACATAAGATTGACATGCGCAGCCGCCGCTGGGCATGTCAATATTATGTTGTTCCCTCTTGTGCATTTTGTTTTGGGTGGCTGGCCGCGGATGTTGTTTCCCCCCTTTCTCGTCCCCGTCGCCCCCCTTTCTCGTCCCCGTCGTCCTCCGCCTCGGTCGTCCGCCCCTCCCCCCCCGAGAGCGGCCGGTTCGTCCGCCATCTTACTCATCGCATCTTCGCGGCCCTAGACTGAACAGCATAAGATTGACATGCGGAGCGGCGGCTGCGCGTGTCAATCTTACGTTGTTCCCCCCAGGGCCGCGAGGACGGGAGGAGGGGAAGGGCGGGCGAATGCGGCCGCCCCGGGGGTGGGTCGAGGCCGACCGAGGAGGCCGAGGAGGAAGAGGACGAGCACGACGACGAAGAGGGGGAAGCGACACGTGCGGCCAGCCACAAAAAAAAGAACCCCAGAGGGAACAACATAAGATTGACATGGGCAGCCGCCGCTGCGCATGTCAATCTTATGTTGTTCCCTCTTGTGCATTTTGTTTTGGGTGGCTGGCCGCGGATGTTGGTTCCCCCCGTCCCCCCGTGGCCGTCGTCGCCGTCGCCGTGGTCGTCGTCTTCGTCGTCGTCGTGGTCGTCGTCTGCGTCCTCGTCCTCGTCCTCGTCCTCGTAATTCGTCGGTTCTCGTCCTCGTCGTCCTCCGATTCGGTCGTCCGCCCCCCACCCCCGAGAGCGGCCGGGTTCGTCCGCCATTTTGCTCATCGCATCTTCCCGGCCCCAGACTGAACAGCATAAGATTGACATGCGGAGCGGCGGCTGCGCGTGTCAATCTTATGTTGTTCCCCCCAGGGCCGCGAGGACGGGAGGAGGGGAAGGGCGGGCGAATGCGGCCGCCCCGGGGGTGGGTCGAGGCCGACCGAGAAGGCCGAGGAGGAAGAGGACGAGCACGACGACGAAGAGGGGGAAGCGACACGTGCGGCCAGCCACAAAAAAAAGAACCCCAGAGGGAACAACATAAGATTGACATGCGCAGCCGCCGCTGGGCATGTCAATCTTATGTTGTTCCCTCTTGTGCATTTTGTTTTGGGTGGCTGGCCGCGGATGTTGATTCCCCCCTTTCTCGTCCCCGTCGCCCCCCTTTCTCGTCCCCGTCGTCCTCCGCCTCGGTCGTCCGTCCCTCCCCCCCCGAGAGCGGCCGGGTTCGTCCGCCATCTTACTCATCGCATCTTCGCGGCCCTAGACTGAACAGCATAAGATTGACATGCGGAGCGGCGGCTGCGCGTGTCAATCTTATGTTGTTCCCCCCAGGGCCGCGAGGACGGGAGGAGGGGAAGGGCGGGCGAATGCGGCCGCCCCGGGGGTGGGTCGAGGCCGACCGAGGAGGCCGAGGAGGAAGAGGACGAGCACGACGACGAAGAGGGGGAAGCGACACGTGCGGCCAGCCACAAAAAAAAGAACCCCAGAGGGAACAACATAAGATTGACATGGGCAGCCGCCGCTGCGCATGTCAATCTTATGTTGTTCCCTCTTGTGCATTTTGTTTTGGGTGGCTGGCCGCGGATGTTGGTTCCCCCCGTCCCCCCGTGGCCGTCGTCGCCGTCGCCGTGGTCGTCGTCTTCGCCGTCGTCGTCGCCGTCGCCGTCGCCGTCATCGTTGTCCTCGTCGTGATGGTCGTCGTCGTCGTCGTCGCCCTCGTCCTTTTCTGCCTCGCCCGCACCCTTCGGCCCGGCCGCCCCGCGCGCTGGCTCGGCTTCGCCGTGCGGGGGCGGAGGAAGAAGCCGAGTGGCGGGAGGAGGGAGGAGGAGGAGGAGGAGGAGGAGAAGGAGGAGGAAGAGGGGTAGGAGGAGGAGGAGGAGGAGCAGGGGTCAGGGCTAAGAGGTGACAGGCGTCAGGGCTCTCTGGCCACTCTGGCTCCAGCGACGCCCGTGGGCAGGGGGGGTCCCGAGCGTCGCACAAGTACCCGAAACATGCGGCCTGCGGCTTCAAAGATGGCGCCCGTTTCGGGCGGCGCGGGGCGTGGACCCCAGGGGCAACCTGAGTTCGATTTCCAGGCCTTGCGTTTGAAACAGGAGGTGGAGGCGGAGTCCAGGCGAGACGAGGAGGCGCGGAGGGCCCGCGTTGTTCTCGCCGATCGCGACGCCGTCGCCGGAGGCGACACGACAGTTCTCTTCGCCCTCGACTCGCGCTGGGTGGGTGCTGTCTCGGCGGCCCTTCCCGACTGGCTCAGGCTCCAAGTGAATAGGCAGGCCATGCACGAGATGTTGCTTGCGAAGGCCAAGGCGTACAAGTGGTACTCCACGCCCCCACACAAGTACTGGGACGATGCGTTCAACCGCATGGCGTCCGTGTGGCAACGGCCTCTGACGGAGCAGGTCGGGCTGAGCCTGACGGACTGGCTTCGCTCGGAGGCGCAGACCGTGGCCGCCGCTCTGCTGGAGCAGCCAGCGCCCACCAGCACGGATGCCCTGAATTGGCTCCCGAGCATCTTTCATGCTGTCCGGTGCTGGCCGCAGGCGATGCCCTTCGACGTCGAGGGCGGCGCGGCAGCCGCCGAGGCCGAGGCCAAGTCCGACGCGCCCCCGCCAGATGCAGCCCCCGCCGGCGCCTTGCACCCGACGTCGACGCCCATGGAGGAGGGGGGCCACGGCGAGGCGGCGGCCTCCGAGGCCAGTGCGCCGCTGATGGTGGAGACGCCGCGGGTGACCTCTGGCGCGCGGGCGGCCTCGCCTGGCCAAGGGGAAGAAGCCCCCAGGGGGGGGCAGCACGTGTCCTTCAAGGAGGGAGACAAGGTGCAATATTGGAGCGACTCCAATGGGAAATGGATCGACACCATTGTGGATGCGGTGCGCGAGAAGGACGGCGCTGTGTCTTACGACCTCGCCTGCAAGAAGGGTTCGTCGGCGGATAAGGTGCGACCGTCCGAATATGACTACGAGGTCGGCGACGCCGTGGAGTACTGGAGCACCTCGGCCGTGCGATGGCTCAGAGCCAAGGTGCTCAAGACGGAGGGGTGCCCCCCGGGCCACGTCGATCTGGACATCAAGCCCTCCGCGCCGTTGGCCAAGTTGCGGCCCCACACGGATGGGGCCCCGCGCGCCGCGCCCTGCGCGGGCGCGCCCCCCGCTGGCGCTGCCCAGCTCCTGCCCCAGGAGGAGGCCGAGGGCGATGCCGCGGCCGCTGCGCCCCGCGCGGATGCAGCACCCGCGGAGGAGCTGGCGGTGGCCGCCAGCTCCCCGCCACACCCGGGCACCCCGGGGGCGTCGACCAGTGCTGAGGGGCTGGCGGTGGCCGCCAGCCCCCAGGCATACCTGGGCGGTGCTGAGGAGCCGGAGGGCCTGGCCGGTGCTGAGGAGCTGGCGGTGGCCGCCAGCTCCCCGGCATGCCCGGGCAGTCCCGGGGCCGCCGCGGCGCCCGTGCCGGCAGCCCTCCGCGCGACTCTGCTCACAGAAGACAGGGCGCTCACCGTCCTCGGCCCCGCGGTGGCAGAGCTCATGCTCGGAGGCGGCAAACCATGCGAAAACAGGGATCGCAAGATATTTCGGCCGGGGTGGCACTGGCTGCACATCGGGAAGAACAACGAGAGCCCCGACGCGAAGGCGATCTTGCAGCGCACGGCGCCCCACGTTGCAGCTAACCCAAGCTTGCCCCGACGCGCCCTGGTCGGGGTGGTGCTTCTCGGGGCACCGCGGCCGCCTGGCGAACAACCTGGCCCATGGGACATTGGGCCTATCTGCTACCCCATCCTCGCGGCCGTTGCTCTGGACGCCCCCATTTCGCCAGTCAAGGGCGGCCAGGCCCTGTGGCGCTTGGAAGAGGGTACCATGCAGGCCGTGGCGGACGCGCTCCCCGGGGCTGAGTGCCGGGAGCTCCCCGGGGCGGCGAGCGCATTGCAGCCGCCGCCTGAGGGGCGCGCGGCTTCCCCGCCGAGGCCGCCCGCCGCCCGCCTCTGGGACGGATTCCAGGACCTCGGCTCCGTCGAGGCCACCGTCCACGCCGCCCTCGCCGAGATCCTCCAAGACACCCGGAGCCACCGCGAAGTGGGCTCGGACGCAACGTTCGGCGTGCGCCTGCTGGCGCCCGCGCCCTTCGCTGCCGCCGCCCGCGCGCTCTGCGCGAGGGGGGGCTGGCCAGCGGAGGCCGTGCTCTTGGATCTCATGGCGTTCACAAACTTCCTGGAGACGCCGGGGGCGACCCTCCGAGACCATAAGAAGGAGATTCACGCCCGCGCGCCCACTTTGCCATGCCTGCAGGGGAACGAAGTGTCGAAGCGCAAGAGTTCCAAGAATAAGTTTTTCTTCGAGACCCTGTTTGGCATGGGCCCGGATGAGTGGAAGCAGCAGGCGTTTGTGTGCAACGACGGTGCCCCGAAAGGCATGAGGCTGGCGATCAAAAACCACAGCCGGCTGGCCATCGTCTCCGAACAGTCTAACAGAACCTACGAGACGCCCTGGAGCGAGAAGGCCATGGGCATACATCCTGTCAGCCGGGCCATGGCCTGCACGCCGTGCAACTGCGAGACGGATAACTCCATCTCGGGGATGGGCGCCCACCACAGCATGTGCTATAACTTTCTCCACGCCGTCTCGGGCCAGTGCGAGTCTGTGGAATGGATTGCGCGGCCCAGTCCCGGCGGCTTCACGAAGAGGCTCGCTCTCACGTCGAGCCCGCAGACGCTGCTCAATCCCGACCAGCAGGCGGACGACTCCCACCAGTTCTTCAAGGATTACGCGGCCTGGGGGTTCGAGCACATCATGGCGCACGGGGAGCCGCGGGACCGAGTGCTCTCCAGCCGCGCGCGCCCTGTCTTCCGAGAGATCCTGCGGGCGATCGCGTCTTTCGTGGCGCCGGAGGGGCCTGCGCAGAGGGCGCTCAGCGAGAGGCCGGACAGCGGCGAGCGCGCAGATGCCATTGCCGCTGCTTGGGGGTTCTTCAAGGAGAAGGTCGACTACGCAGACACAGACCTCGCCCGCGTCTCCAAAGCCAACGCGCGCTTCGACGAGTTCTTCCGGTCGCGGAATGGCAATATTCCGCCCGAGGACGGCCTGGGGCACCACGCGCTCATGCGCGCGTACCATTACCTCCTCCGCCAGCTCCGCGTTCATTGGACGTACTACGTTTGGTGGTTCAAGATCTTGCAGCTGAACCAGTACAGCTTGAAGAGCGTCGCGGCCTACCTGTCGCCGGCCGGCTGCGCCCCGGTGCCCCCCTCGAGGAAGAGGGCGAAGGGGCCGGAGGGGGGGGCTCGGCCGCGGCTGAGCCAGAGCGACGTGATCCGCCGGGCCCTTCTCCAAGATGCCCGTCTGAAGGGGTCGGCCGGCAAGCAGGTCTCGGCCAGTGCCGCGCGCCGGATCATCAAGGACATCGGCGGCGTCAGGACGTCAGCAGGCTCGTCGGCTGGCCCGTCAACCGGCCCGCAGGGTCTCGCAGCCGCCGTGCATGCCGCGATCGCGGACTACAAGAACTTGGGCCTTCTTCGCGTGTCCGACACCCCTGGGAAGCGGGCCGCCGGCGGCACGGAGGCGGAACCGCCCCGGGAGAGGGCCGCGGACTACACGTTCTACAGGGCGCCGGCAGAGGGCCTCGGCGCCAACGCGCTCCAAGAGGTCTCAGCCTGGACACGTTTGACTAGCGCGCAGAGGGGCGCCCGTGCTCATTCCTTGGCTGCAGGGGTAGCCGGCTTGATGCTCCAGCGCGGCGCGTGGGAAGTATGCTAATCATTGAGGCAGGCGACGCGCGCGGGCACTTGCAGGAGCAAATGCGGTGCCAGGATTGCGCCCTTGCTTCGCAATCGGCCCAGCATTGGCCATCGATGTCGGCTCGTCGGCAAGTTTCCCGCCCCGCGCCCTTTTCGCTAGAGCACTGGCACTGCGCGGGTGAACAGATTGGGGCATTTTGTGAAAACAGACTCCTCCCTGTGTTCTCGGACCGGCGTCCATCGCGCTTGGCCCAGTGCAGATAGACAGCGTGCGCGCGTTGCGCGCAGGCCCGCCAGATGAGGAGCGCGCGCGCCAGGGGAGGGGCCCGGCGGGCCTGGCCGGTCTGGTGGATGATGGCCGGCGGGGAGCAAATGATTGGAAAAAGCGCGAGGCGCTGTTTCAAATGATTTGTTCGCCCCCGCGCAGGGGCCCGCGATGGGGGTTGGGGAAGTCGGGGGCCCACCCGCTGGCATTTCTCTCTCTAGAAGGTCTCCTGCTCGGGGCCGCCCCCGCAGCCGAGCGCCGGGGATGCCGCGCGGGAAGCCTGGCGCCAGGCCGCGGTCGCGCAGCCGCGGCCGGAGGAGTCGCAGCCGCATCCGGCGCCCTTCGGGGAGTGCTGGTCGGATTGACGAGGCCGACGACCTCGAGGAGTTCTTCCGCGACCGGCCCGGACTCTCCGTGGGCGATTGGGACGGCGTGCGCCAGGGCCAGCGGGGCCGGCGCCGACGCCGCACCCGCGGCGCGAGGAGGCGAGACGGAGACTGGGACTGCCCGAACTGCGGGGAGATGGTGTTCAATACCAAGGACCTCTGCTTCAATTGCGGGCAGGCACGACCCGGGGACTCACCCGACGCGGGCGGGGGCGGGGACAAAGGAGAAGCCGCCCGCCAGCCCAAGGGGCCACCGGGCCAGCCCCAGCGGCGGGATGACGCGGGGCGAGCGTCGCTGCCGATGCCAGGAGAGCGCCGGAGGGCTCGCCGCGAGGTGGGCGACAAGGTACACTACTGGAGCGAGACTTATGGGAAATGGATCGTCGCTGAGGTGGTGGCGCTGCCGGCCGCGGGAGTCCTGCAACTGAACATCAAGCGGCGGGTCCCCGAGGCGCAGGTTCAGGACGTCGACGTGGCGAGGCCCCGGGCGGAGTTCGACGGGGTCGCAAACGACGGCCCTGCTCCCGCCCAGCCATGAGCGGCCTGGCACCAGGTGGCCGACGCCGAGGGGCGCGTGGCGCGCGTCCCCGTGGCCGATGCTGCGGCATCCCAGGGCAGCCTGGGAGCTCAGGAGAACCTGCCTGGCGACCGTGGCGAGGCGCCCGGGCGTGGCCAGGCAGGAGGCCCCGAAGGGCTGGACTCGTCTGGGCGTCCGGGCTGCGCGCTGGCGCCGGGGCCGCTGAGTTCCTGATAGGCTTCTCCGCGGCAGGGCGGATCGAGGCGCGTAGGAGTTCGCGTGTCCGCAGCGGGGCGGGGCGCGTGAGGACCCCTTGGGAGATCGCCAGCGAAAATGAAGAGGAGGCGGTAGGAGGAGGAGAGGGAGGAGGAGCAGGATGATAATGAAGAGCAGTAGGCCGGAGGGGGAGGAGGAGGTGCGCGGCCGAGGAGAGAGAAAGAGAGAGTGAGGAGCGCTCACAGGTTGTCCGCTTGCACGCATTCGGGCAGCCTCGTCAGGCTGGGATCGCAGTGAGCCACTTGCCCCCCCTTGCTCCCTTGCCCCCCCTTGCTCCCTTGCTCCCTTGTCCCTTGCAGCCCCTCCTGGAACCCTCGGAGGCTTTCTGGAGAGCCTTTGGAGCCATCTTGGGGCCCTCTTGAGTCCTCGGGCCGTCTTGGGGTTATCCTCGGCCGTCTTGGGGCGCTCCTTCGGCGCCCCCCGTATTAGAAAATACATACCTCCCTCTTGGGCGGCCGCGGAGGAGCGGAGGGGAAGGGCAGGGGAGAAAGGGAGGAGGGCACGGGGGAGGCGGAGGAGGGAGGGGAGGGGAGGGCAGGGAGAGGGGGGGGAGGGCACAAGTGGGAGGAGGGGGGGACAGGGAAGAGGAAGAGGCAGGGGCCGTGCACCCTTGCACTCTTGCACCCTTGCGCCCTTGCCCATACACCCTAACGACGTTACACCTGTACCCTCCCAGGGGTGGGGCAAGAGAGAGCTAAGGGAGCAAGGGAGCAAGGGAGCAGGGCTGCTCCCTTAGCTAAGGGAGCAAGGGAGCAAGGGAGCAGGGCTGCTCCCTTAGCGGCTAAGGGAGCAAAGGAGCAAGGGAGCCGGGCTGCTCCCTCAGCGGCTAAGGGAGCAAGGGAGCAAGGGAGCAGGGCTGCTCCCTTAGCTAAGGGAGCAAGGGAGCAAGGGAGCAGGGCTGCTCTCTTAGCGGCTAAGGGAGCAAGGGAGCAAGGGAGCAGGGCTGCTCCCTTAGCTAAGGGAGCAAAGGAGCAAGGGAGCAGGGCTGCTCCCTTATCGGCTAAGGGAGCAAGGGAGCAAGGGAGCAGGGCTGCTCTCTTAGCGGCTAAGGGAGCAAGGGAGCAAGGGAGCAGGGCTGCTCCCTTAGCTGCTAAGGGAGCAAGGGAGCAAGGGAGCAGCCCGAAACTAGCACCCCGGATCCCGCCCACGCTGCATGAGCATACTTCACATACTTAGTGGACGAATCGACGGTTCCCGTTCTTGTCCGGTCAGGTTCCCCAGAATAGCGATTTCGCTTTAGACGTCTTCACACAATCGAGATGTTGGAGGCTATCGTTTAAGACGTCTTATGTTAAAAATGAGCGTTTCGCCGGAGATATCATCGGGAACCCGGGATGTTTAAATCGACGGTCTAATTTTCGAAGTTTCGGAAATGGCCGCTTCGTTTGAGACATCCTCGAAAAAGTGGGATGTGCAAAAAGTTATGTTCAAACATCTTTTCAGAGCGACCTCGGATGACTTCCAAGATTGCCGAAGAAGGCGAAAGCATAGAACAACAAATGGTTTTCAACCGCTATGTTAAAATCAGAGCGTCTCGCTCGAGATATCCTCCAAACATTGCCATCGGACGGGTCCTGGAAGGCTAAATGCTTGAAAAACCATGGGTTTCCAACAGTTTTGTTAAACACAGAGCGCGTCGCTCGAGACATTCTCCAAACATTGCCTTCGGACGGGTCCTCGATACCATCAGCTTCCTCCTTATCCTCGTTATCCTTCTTCTTTTCGGGGTGAGCGGCACGTCTGAACGTGCGCGGGTAGTGAACGCTATCTGGTACCCCCTGTGGACGTTCAGGAAGAGCGCCTACGCGACGCGCGACCTTCATGTTGGTGCACGTTCTTGCCAAGTTTTTCGATTTCACGCCCTTCTCCTCCACTTGTTCCGTCTTCTCTCCCTCCTCCTTCTCCTCTTGCTCATCATTTTCGTCCTCCTCCTGCTCCTTCTCGTCATTCTCACCTCACCTCCTGCCCTTCCTCCTCCTCGCCACGTCTGACCTTGCGCGGGTAGTGAACTCAATTTGGGATCCTAGTTTGAACTTTCGGGTAAGCGGCACAGCTGAATTTGCGCGGGTAGCGAGCTCAATGTGGTAACCGTTTTTGAACGTTCGGGTAAGCGGCATGTCTGACTTAGCGCGGGTAGCGAATATCATTTGGCACCCCTTTTTGGGCGTTCAGGAAAAGCGCATACGCGACAAGCGTTTTGCCAAGCTCTTCGATATCATGCGCCCCCCGTTCATGTCAAGAACAGTTCCCCGGAATGGCAAGATCGCCTGATATATCTTCACAAAAAGGAGATATATAATGATATATTCTACTGCGCCTTATACTAAGAATGACGCTGAATCTGCAGACATATTCGAACAATGGCAATGTTGTGATCTCTCGCGAACTTCGCCAATCTCCAAAACTTTGCGTTCCGCCTGAGACATCCTCAACTCGCCTGGCGAATGACCCAACCATACGCACTTGTAAATACCGCACTTGTGAATACCATCTTCGCCCGCGTTCCCTGTGGCCACGGCTCCCCGCCGGAGCCCGACATGCTGAGGGAATCGTTCGTCGCCGTCTTCGAGGGCGCCGACGACGACGAGGACGGCGTCCCTTCGACCGAGGGGCAGAAATAGGAGAGGGTTCTGAGAGCGATGAGGAAGAATGTTACGTTGCACGTCGCCGAGGCGGAGTACAACGCCCAGGCGCGGGTTTTGAAGCAGCACAAATATGGGGCAACGATCTTCGTGTGGGGTGTGCCGCAATGGCCCGCGGCCGCCACGCAAGCCCTGCCATTGGCGCCTTCGGTGGAGCTCCTATGGGGCTACGATCCTCGTGAAGGGTGGACCGAAATGGCCCGAGGCCACCGTGCGAACCCTGCCACAGGCGCCCTCGGAGGGGCCCCGTATGGAACCACGACCGTTGCGAAGGGTGTGCCGAAATGGCCCGAGGCCGCCGCGCGAGCCCTGCCGCCAATGCCTTCGGTGGAGCTCCCCACGCGGCCGCGATCCTCGTGAGGGGTGTGCCGAAATTGCCCGAGGCCGACATGCGAACTTTGCCGCTGGGGCCTTCGGTGGAGTTCCTTGTAGGGCCACGATCCTTGTGAGGGGCGTGCCGGAATGGCCCGAGGCCGCCATGCGAGCCCTGCCGCTGGGGCCTTCGGTGGAGCTCGAACGGGGCCGCGATCCTGGTGAGGGGCGTGCCGAAATGGCCCGAGGCCGCCATGCGAACCCTGCCACTGGCGCCTCCGGTGGAGCTCTCTGTGGGGCCACGATCCTCGTGGAAGGTGTGCCGAAATTGCCCGAAGCCGCCATGCGAACCCTGCCACTGGCGCCTCCGGTGGAGCTCCCTGTGGGGCCACGATCCTCGTGAGGGCGTGCCGAAATGGCCCGAGGCCGCCGCGCAAGCCCTGCCACTGAGGCCTTGGGCGGAGCTCCCTATGAGGCCACAGTCCTCGTGAGGGGCGTGCCCGAATGACCCGAGGTCGCCACTGGCTCCTTCGGTGGAGTTCCATGTGGGGCCACGGTCCCCGTAAGGGATGTACCGAAATGGCCCGAGGCCACCGTGCGAACCCTGCCACTGGCGCCTTCGGCGGAGTTCGTTGTGGAACCACGATCCTTGTAAGGAGTGTGCCGATATGGCCCGAGGCAGCCATGCGAACCCTGCCATAGGTGCCCTCAGTGGAACCCGCCCGTATTGGGCCACGATCCTCGTGAGGGGCGTGCCGAAATGGCCCAAGGCCGCCATGCGAACCCTGTCATTGGCGCCTCTGGTGGAGCTCCCTGTGGGGCCACGATCCTCGTGAGGTATGTGCCGAAATGGCCCGAGACCGCCGTGCGAACCTTGCCGCTGGGGCCTTCGGTGGAGTTTTGTATGGGGCCACGATCCTTGCGAGGGGTGTGCCGACATGACCCGAGGCCGCCACGCGAACCCTGCCACTGGCGCTTTCGGTGGAGCTCCCAATGTGGCCACGAAGCATTGTAATGCGCGTTTCAGGGAGGAGGGGGAGGGGAGGAAGGAAAGAGAAAGGAGGAACGCGGGGACCGCTTCTGCAAAGCAATGGCCCAACACCACAGGATTGTTGGAACAAAATTCAGCTAGAGCTGCGATTGGACCTCTGATGTTAAACAAATAGCTCTCGCCAGGGACATCCTCGAATAATGGAGATGTCCAGGGAGCGTGCGAATTCGTCGTAATCTTAAAAATGAGGCTCCCGCCCGAGACATCATCCCAAACATGCGATGTGCAATAAGGTGTCTTACGACATAGATTGGACGCACTATTTGGGGGGAACTTCAAACGGCCCAAGAGGGGACATCTGTAAAACAAAAAAATAGCCGGGCGAAGGACCTAACCATATGCAGTTGTGAACAGCGCAGTCGTGAATTCCATCTTCGCCCGTGCTCCCTATGTGGCCACGGCTTCCCACCGGAGCCCGACATGCTTAGGAACATGTTTGTGACCGTTTTTGCGGGCGCCGACGACGACAAGGACGGCGTCCTTCTGACCGTGGAGCAGAAGCCGGAGAGGGCTTTGAGAGCCATGAGTGGGGCGGTGGCGTTGCACATCGACACGGCGGAGTACGACGCCCAGGCGCGGCTGTTGAAGCACAATTGTCGGGCCACGATCCGTGTGAGGGGAGGAGGAACGCGGGGACCGCCTTTTCAAAACGAAGAGCCAACACCACAGGATGGTTGGGAATGTCGCTCAAAAGTATGCGGTTCTGTCGACACATCATCAAAACTTGCATCGTCGTCGTCGTGGTTGTCGTCGTCGTCGTTGCCATAATCATCGTCATCGTCGGCGTCGTCGTCCTCGTCATTGTCGTTGTCACTGTCGTCGTCATCGTCGCCGTCGTTATCATCGCTGTCGTTGCCGTCGTCATCGC